TTATAGTTCCGAATATGCAGCTGTGGCATTTATTGGAACATACCAGCTTTGTAAAGTTATTTGATAGTGTTGGGTTGCTCCTTATGTAACTCATACGAGAAAATAAAATGTTTTTTCTGGTTCAAATACTGGATATTTGACAGGCCTGGAGAAGAGAAGGCTCCAGGGAGACCTTATAGCAGCCTTCCAGTACTTAAAAGGAGCTTATAAGAAAGATGGGGACAGACCTTTTAGCAAGGCCTGTTGTGACAGGACAAGGGGTAATGGTTTTAAACTAAAGGAAGGTAGATTCAGACTAGATAGAAGAAAGACGTTTTTCACAATGAGGGTGGTGAAGCACTTCAACAGGTTGCCCAGAGAGGTGGTAGATGCCCCATCCCTGGGAACATTCAAGGACAGGCTGGATGGGGCTCTGAGCAACCAGATGTAGTTGAAGATGTCCCTGCTCCTTGCAGGGGGGGTTGAACCAGATGACCCTTAAAGGTCCCTTCCAACTCAAGACATTCTATGATTCTATGATATCTTTTAGGAAAAACTTAGTCTGAAGGTTACTTTCTGAGTGCCCTTATCCCAAAGGATAAATACAGGAGATGCCCAAAAGAGAAAGAATGTCTACCATGACCTAATATGTAATACAGAAGTTATGAATTCTGTCTATTTTATCAGTTCCATCTAGATACGGGAATAGTATTGCTTATGTCAGTAGGATTGTAGTGCTACTAGAGAAAAACATGCTTTTAGTAATTGTAACCTCCACGCAACGGAATTGATTTTTTTTTTTTCATTTTGAGAATTTTGTGTTTTCTAGTATTAATTAGAGGAGTTGTTGTATTTAATTAGTTATATTTTAAAAAAGTATGTTGCACTTCAACACTTTGAAGTTGAGATAATATACAACTTTTTGTAATAAAAAGTTGATGATAAAAATCCATGCTTCTGCATACTTCACAAAAACATTTTCCTGTGGTGCCTTTTGGAATGTTAATGTCATTGAATCAACTTATAAGTCTTTTCATGGTATCTTTCAAGAAAACAATGTGATAATCATTGTAGTTAAAAGTTATTTTAATAGTTTAAATTGGCACCAGTGGAATTTATTCCTAGTAAATACTCTACTGATCTCAGGTTTGATTTCTTTCCCAAAGATACGGATAGCAGTAATGTAAGTGTCTGTAGATTTATGAATACAGTGATATGGTGTTTTTCCACCTGCCTTCTTGTCCAAAGACTGTATACAGAGAATGATGTGTGATAAAAAGCTTTTTTTTTTTTTAAACAAGTATTTCCTAAATTTCTCCAGAAAATGCAGTAAAAAAGGGGGTAAATTAAAGTAAAAGGTAGTGTAGAGAGAGGGGAGGAAATGCTGCAAGTTTTTGCTAGATGTGGTTTTGCTCATAATAGGGATAGTGTATTTAGACTACACACAGATTGAAGACTTTCAAGGTGCCAAAATTGGGAAAAATACACTCTGCTAATATGCTGAAATTTGTCTGAAGTATACTGGAATTTTGTAGCTGCTACATTGAGACTGTCACTATTGTTTCTTGAGAAGACATTAACTTAATAAATTTTGCTTCAAATTTTCTGTAGATGCACATGTAGTTGCATGCTTACTAATATCCAACATATTATTCAACTTCCATGACTGTTTTAACTTTTTCATACAGATCTGCCTAAAAGTTAAAGTGTGATTGTTTAATTTTTACCTTTTGCTTTGTAAGTGTACAGATATACAAAGCAATACATGTAGGTTTTTTGTATGAATATAACATTTCATATTACTTAGGTGAAAAAGGCATATTTTGGTTTTAAAATAGATTCATCACTTTGAGCTATGTTAGAAAAGCCCTAGAGGAATCAAGCTGGATAGGCAGGCAGGCAAGTGGTGATATAGCTAAGGAAGATCCTAATGTAACTAGATTTATAGCATTAAAGAGTGTCATGAAATTTGTTTTGTTTTTAACTTTAAATAACATAGGACTAACAAAAAGTATAGGGCAGTTAAGACTCTTCACGGTACAGAAAAAAAGCAGGGAAATCTTAATGCTTTGAGAAGCTCAGTCTGTACTTGTTCATTTGGTTTTCCTGCCTGAGATTATGTTTACAATTTGTTGTTTCTATATTTGAATGTATAGTGCTTTTATGACTGTGAATTAATGGGTACGTGTTGTAGATAATTCGAAGTGTCTTTGCATGCTACTGCAGAAGAGAGAAGCTTCCATTCTCATTTTCCTTCCCTGCAGAGGTATACTGGCACCCACAGTCCTTTTGGAGGGGCAATGGTTCTTGGGAGTGCTCTTCCATCTGTTTCAGAGGCAATTTTCTTGTTAAATTGTTCACTTTAAACGAAACCTGGAAATTGTGCTTTAAGTAGGGCTGCAGATTTGGTAGCAGCTGGAGGAATTTAAATGCTGTGGTCATTCACAGTCTGGAAGTATCTCCTTAACCTTATGTTGTCAGAGGCATACTTTGTTGTAACAGAAGCTGGTGTACAGTGTTCTAGTGTCGATGGTTGGACTATGTGGTCTCATCCAGTCTGAGGTGCAGAAAATCATACTTCCAGTGTTCCCACTGCCCTGTATGGAAACCTAAATAAATTTGAGGGCTGTTACTCACAATGGCCAGAGTTTTTTGAGTAATGCCCCCTAGGGTGCAAATGAAGAATATCTTAAGTACATGATTTTCCTGGTAAGGAAAACAAACTGTTCTCTCTCTGATGGATGTATTTGCATTGATATAGCATTTGTATGTTCTGTTGAAATATCGCAAATCTTTGAAATTTGCTAGCATTTGCTGTTTATGCCTATGACTAACAATGGGGAATGTTTTCCCGCCAAAAACTGCAAGGAAGAAAAATGGTCAAAATAAATACAGATGCCAAAGTAAACAGCTGTTGTCCCACTTAAAAGACAATTATAGTGAATCAAGATACTATCAGAGTCCTCTCAACACCAGTTCCATGGAGACCTAAACACTGCGGTGCTCTGGGCCACCAAAAAGTGTTTTGTGGCCTGTGTTTTTTTTTTTTTTCCCTGGCTTACTTTTTTTCTGCCTTAGTTAAGTCAGCATGTGGCAGAGTCCAAGAACTGAAGTCAGCACAAGGGAAGTGGTGGGAGCAGACAAGGAGGTAGAGTGGGGAGCAGTAGATTCCACACTGAAGCCTGGTGTTTCTGGAGGTGTTCTGTTATTGCAGTTATCCTTATTTAATATGGACATAATATCTTGTTTCCCTAACTGTCTATAGTTAGATTGAGTTTTGCAGCCTAGACCTTTTTATAGAGATAGGCACCTTTCTTCAAAAGGATTTTCAAATCACCTCTGTGATTGTTTCTTACAGATGACCTACAAATCGGGCTTAGAAGACTTATTCACCTGATTCAGACATATTACTACACGCTAAATATTTGAAAGAAACATAGCATTTTAACTTAATAGCGATCTTCACCTGGAAAATAGTCTCCAGTGTGGCAATATTTAATCATTATCTTTACAGTTACTCATTTGTGTTTTTTCCCTCCTCCTGAAGAGACACTTCTTATGGTGCAGTGCACTTCAGCTTTGCTGAGCAGAATCTTGCACAACCTCCTTCAAATGCTGAAGAGTAACCAATACAATAGTTTGGGTTTTTTCATTCATAAAAAAACATTAAAAAAAACTATAATCTTCTCTCTTGCCTAACTTGAAATTAGGCTGACTGTGTGCTACCACTTCTCTATTATGTCCAGTACATCTGATGTCTATATAGAAAGGAAGAAAAAAAAATCTATTTTGTTTCTTGTGTTGCAGGATGCTCACTGGACATTTTAACTACAAACATCACAGTCTTGGTAAAACGTTCAACTTTATAATCTTAACAACTCAAGCTATGGTATTTATGGTCTGTATTCATTTAGTTGCTGTGTAGTTTCATTCTGAAGTCTTTTTCTAGAACCAAAAGGGACTGCAACAGTGCAATAGAGTTAGATTAACTTTTCAAGAGGAAAGAAGTTCAACAAACCCAAATCTCCTTCAGATTTTCTTTTTTTTTTAATGGCTGGGTCTTTCTTTCATGTCAAACTACACAATTCTGAAATCAGTAATGACACGTGATTCAATGAAATTAGTGAGATTAGGTAGTAACTTGAAATTGGTAGAACATGCAGTTGAAGAAGGCACAATATCATCCTGAGGAGGGAAGAAAAGGGAGTGTTTTAAAACTGTTGTTGTTTTTATGGCCTTTTTTCCCAAGATACATTTACATTTGATTTAGAATTTTAGTAAATATGAAGAGTTGATAAGAGAACGTGAAAACCTTTACTCTACCTTTAATATTTCCTAATTCTTCTCTAGAAGTCTTTCAGCATTAGTGTTGTGGAGTCGTGAAGTATTTCTTACTCATTACTGAGATGCAGTGAACAGATTTTGCACTGAAACCTGACGTTAACAGGGCTACTAACAGTACATAATTCAGTATTGTACATGTCTTTGCAGGATTGGCTTTTAGGTTTCCAAAACATTTAGAAGTCGTACAAAGGCTTTTGAATCTTTCGGTTACTTTTCTTTTTCTGTGGGTTCCAAGTAGTGTCTATTATCATATCTTATAAATCATGTTTCTGGTTCATTTCTAACACTATACTTTTATACTAATGTTTGATATGCTGTATTCGAGAAGATATGATTTTGTCTGGTCTGCTGTGTTCAGCTAAAAAACCCCAAACATTTTTAGGTTTTAGAAGTAGAATTACAAAGTTATGGATGGCTGTTAATAAGGACATACTCAGCTGTGCGTCTGAGGATAATGGAGTAGTCTTTTCTTTATGCTAGTTTTAAGTACGTGTTTTCGTTTTCTTAGAAGTTACAGTACTAGACTGAATTTTGTGTATGAATGGAAATAAAGTATCCTATCAATGATGAAAAAAAGATGCTAGTTAGCTTTATCTCATTGCTTAGGATTCATAAAGTACAGAATCTAGGTCTGAGGAACCAAGTTGAATGTACTTTTTATTCTTTTTGTTTTTCAGAGGCCCAGAAGACACAATAAATGATTGTAAAATCCTTTTTATAGAGGAAATGTACAAGATTGAAAAGCCAGGAGCCTATCCATTGACATTTGGGGATGGAGATTTCAAAAGTATGCTTTTTTTTATTCGTTTGAATATAAGTACAAGTTGAATGGTATTTATTTTAAAACATGGAAGGCTCAGCATGCAGAGGTAATAGTAATTGTTTTGTGTGTTCACGAAAGTAATAACATAGAATTCTTTTTAAATTTCTGTTCTAAAAGTATATTTGCTGCAAGGTGGCTCTATTACTTGACATATTCAGAAACTGGTGACATCTTAGTGCTGTCAGTTATAAGCAGAGAAAAAGAGGAACAGCTGATAATGTTCTAAATGAACTGTGCAGAATGAATTTGTAATCTCAGTTAAGCTCCTAGACAGGTGCCCAGGTCACCAAAACTGCTATTACAATTAGGATGTCATTTAAAGTTCTAGTAAATTAATAAATGCTGAAGATAGGATCAATCTGTAATGATGCACTTTAACTTTGTCATTATGTCAGAATTAAAAATGAAAAAAAAAAAAAAAAAAGTAACTTATTTGCCAAAGCTGCTTGTACCATGAAAAAAAGGAGTAATTAACATTTGGAGTATTATTTAGCCATGCACGACTGTCTAAAAAAATAACTATGCCATACCTCCTGATCCTCCCTGTAACCAAAGAAAGGAGTTAGTGGCAGCTTCTCTAAAAAATAGTGTGACATTTTATTGTAAGTTTAAAAATATGTTAAAGTTAGGAGTCATAAGTGTTTGTGATAGCAACTCTGAGAGATTGGACTGCAGCTCTACTAATAAGTATTAGATATTATTATGTATTAGACTCCTGGCTACACGGCAATTTTTCAGAACCTTTGTATGTAGCTCTCAGTGCGCAAGAACTAGTTAGCTTGCTGTTTATTTACCATCATGTGAAAAAAAATCACTGTTTTTCAGAGGAGCAAATACTGTTTGCAGTGATATTTTTAAAAGTAAAAATGTGAATTTCTGTAAATTAACTTCTTGCATTTCCTTTTTCGTTATTTGTGATTTACTTTCCTCAGATTACTCAAACTTAACCATCCATTCTGTTCATTTTTTCTTGGTCATGTTAAAATGTTTTTGCAATATTTTAAAACATGTTTTTATTTTTAAAAAATTGTAGTATGAGAAATTAAAACATCTACAGATACTGCTTTGCATTTACAGACCTACTTATTTGCAAGTGTAATTGTTTATGAAACTTTTTATATGTAGTGAATTATTTTTTTTTAAATTATGTGTATGTTAAGGAAATGAATGACTACTACATTGCTGACTGTAGAAAATTGTCTACAGTGGCACCATTTGATCTGACACAAGTATTTATTTATCATAGAATCATAGAATTGTTCAGGTTGGAAAAGACCCTTAAGATCACTGAGTCCAACCATTAACCTAGCACTGGCAAGTCCACCACTAAACCATATCCCTAAGCACCACATGTATGCGTCCTTTAAATACCTCCATGGATGGTGACTCTACCACTTCCTTGGGCAGCTTGTTCCAATGCTTGACAACCATTTCCATGAAGAAGTTTCTCCTAATAGCCGATCTAAACCTCCCCTGGTGCAATGTGAGACCGT